CAAGGAGGGACGGTTTCGTATATATGTTATAATTATAATTTTAAAAAGCAAAGACACTTACAATCTTAAATGGGAAATTCAGGATTTGACAACAGATATCCCAGAAGTAAAATCTACATGCACACGCACCTATACAAACCCAGAGTTCTCACATCTATAAAATTTTCGTTTCACAAAGCTGTTCTTTGTTAAAAAAAAAATATTTGCACATATTTATATGTAATGTAAAATTTGTCTCTTTAATTTATAAATAACCTCTAAGCTAGATGTTACTATATGCCACTGTTCAAAACTTGGATTATTTTAATGGCTTTGAACTACAAAGTAATTCATAAGCACTGACAGAAAAGATAGCTTTCAGAATCTGACCAATCATTATATTTGCAATTGTTAAAGCATTAATTACTATAAGATATTTTCCTTCCCCCTGCACAGCCTTGTTTACAGATTTAAAAGAGTTTTCCTACGCTGCAGAGGCACTTCTAATTTCAAGCAAAATATTATTTAGGGAGAAGGAGAGGAAAATTGTTTGGATAGGTCATAAAAGTAAACAGGACCAAATGAACTTGAACTTTTCTTTCCCAGTAAATGAAATCTAGTACAATCATAAACCAATAGTTATAAATAAGGATATAAATAAGGACTAATATTCTCATTACACATAAACTCAATGTTACATTTCTAAAGGCAAACATAATTCTATACAAATGTCATGAAAGTAGACAGATAGCATCCATTTTTATGATCCTCTACTACAGTGAAAATCACTTTCAGAACTACTTAAAGGCAAAATAAGATCTGATAGTCCTCTATATGAGGAAAGAGATATGAGGCAGAAAGTTGATGAAAGGAACGAATGGATTTTTAAAAAAATCACTCATGCACAAGGACAAGCATATAATTGAAAGAAAGGGAATAGCCAGCTATAAACCTATAGGATCCAAAGAACAATGACACAAGGATGGGTGTGGGTGTGAATGAATTTATATAGATTCCAAAATACATTCAGACAACTAGTAGGAGCTGAATTTATATATGAACTTAAACCTAACAAAAATACCAAGCCACATATAGTACTATTTTATAAAAATGATGGGCCTTCTTGTTCCAGCCATTTTATATGCTCTTCTACTACTTTGTCCATCTGAATGTGGACACTGTGTCTTATTTGCTTTATCCTCTATACAGAGAAATGAAGGAATGAATGTAACAAGAGAATGAACTGGATGAAACTATCTTAAAGACTGAATCTAGTCATAATCCATTGACTGTAACCACAAGATCATAAACCTCACAAAAGAAATAGCACTTTTCTGGCATAAAAAGAATGAGAGTTATGACCATACTTCAGTTATAGCACTGAAGATAGAAGCATAGGTAAATGGCTTCTAAGAACTGAACTATTAACAATGCTTGAATTCTAGCTGCAGCAGTATGTATTTCAACAAATTTCTATGGGAACTGAATATTAAACAGGCAAATAAAAAGGCTTTTACATTTTCAGCCACATCAAGCAGGACATGGCTTCACATCAGTGGTGGGTTCTGGATCCCGTTCCAACCGGTATGGTTGGAATGGGCCCGGTATTGTCGACATGTACACGCGCAGCACGTGCATGCATCTTACCTTCCAGCAACACCTTCGCGATGCTCCAGATGCTTAGCGGAGCATCGCGCAGGTGTTGTATGCGTCGTGCACGTGCACGGAAGCACAAAATAGTTTAAAGACAGGTTAGGAGCGCGGGCAGGCCCTCCAGAGCACCGGAACGGAACAGTACCCGGTGCTCCAGGCAGGCTCCGGTACACCCATATCGGGGCATACCTCCTGCAACCCACCACTGTGGTTCACATGGAATACCACTTATAAAAAGCATGTCAGAAACCAGAAAAATATCGTTTAAAAAAAATTGCAGTCTCAATAAAAAACACCAAATTACAGTACTGTAATAAAAGAAAATTCTAAATGTCATACTCTCAATCTATTAATTTTCAGAGATTCCATAACCACTATTGAAGTTTTCCAATAGAAATCAGGAACCAAAAGAATAAATCAAGAAATAAACTGTCACATTCATAGTTCATATTTTCCTGAGCCCTTGTAGTTACAATTCAACCCAAGGAAAAACCACAGCTCCTTAAGAACTACTGACAGGTACCTCAAGGAAGGCAACATCAGAATTGAAGTTTATTTACCTGATTTAGAATCCCAATACTGCACACATCAAGCATTACACCATATAATTTAGTCAACAGATATTTAAACTTTAACTAGACAATCTGTGACTCATTGGGTAATTATTTCAGAGAACAATAATGACCACAAGAGGCAATAAAGCTGTGAGAGTAGAAACCATTTCCAATTTCCTGCTGGTTTCACCACTGACTTTCCTTGTAGGAAACTGGAAGGGAGCTTTAGAAATTACGTTTATGTGATTGTGGTAGACAGCAGAGGAATGTCAGCACTGGAGCAACCACAACTTTGCCAAATTTCAATCCCACGGGTCTGGAATTTTGGATGCATTCTTTAAGTTAGCCCATCTGAGGTACTGTTGCCCTGTGATGCATCGTTTCTACCAATTGGAGGTTACAAACAGATAACCAGCAGGCATATGTGCAGATAATACATGGCATGATTTCTGCTTAACTGTTTTACTATTGCTTATGGCACAACAATAATAATTTTGAATTTTCTCTGATTTGGTCTTGCCTTCATATTTTTTAATCAAAAAATATCATTTGTTCTCTTTAATAGAAGAAAAAGTTAACAATATTATACTAAATTGGAAATTATACCTAATCAGTTACATATCCTGAAGAAAGCATTTTCACAACAAGCAATGTAACAAAAACACTTTTCTGTAACACATTCAGTTTTAGGATTAGTAGAGACTCTATAAAGCTGTGTTTAATCAATGGATTATAAATCAACAGTTGTGTTTGAAAGTTTGACTGTCTCATGACCGTAGCTGTGATTATTATTTAGGAATCTAAATAATCTAAAATTATAAGCTAAATTTAAGCTAATGAAATGTCATTTTAATGTATGCCAATTAGTGTACATTCAAGTGACAATAATGTTATTCCAAGATTCAAATCTTTTTGAAGCCTAGTTCAGGGGGGGGAGGGGAGTTAAGTTTTGCAAAGCAAACATTTTGCTGTTTCTTGATGTCCTGTTGATACCTTAAATTATTTCTTGATAAACTACCATAACAAAGAGACTTCTTGATAAAAAGTTTAATCTCGGTAAGCAGAATGGTTGGAAGGAACCCTGAAGGTCTTCTAGTCCTGCTCAAGTAAGAAACTCCATACCACTTCAGACAAATGGCTGTCCAATCTCTTCTTAAAAACCTTTAGTGTTGGAGCACCAACAACTTCTGGAGGCAAGCCAATTAATTGTTCTGTCAGGAAATTTCTCATTTCTAGGTTGGTTCTCTCTATGATTAGTTTTCATCCATTGTTTGTTGTCCTGCCCTCAGGACAAGAATAGGTCAACCATGTCTTTGTGGCAGGCCCTTAGATATTAGAATACTGCTAGTCNGGGGGGGGGGGAGAGGAAGAATCCCGTGGTTCCCAAGCCCCAAGGGTTGCGGTTCTTGTAACTCGAGCTCGCCTCCGCCCTCTCTTGCTCGCACCCGGTGGCGACAGGTAGAGGCGGCTCCCGATCGCGCCCGGCTGCAGCTGCTGCGAACTTCTGCAGCGCTGAACGGACGCGGGGCTCTCCGTTTTCCCGCCCTTTGGATACCACTAGGCATTATGCAACTTATTAAACCCAACGATAAATTGTCAACATTTTTTTCGCCTGTTAGTTCCGCTGATCCAGGCAGGATTTATTTTCAGATCTAAGGTCCCGGAGCTATAATGCGCGATTTCTTTTCCTTAAATAAAATTGGTCAAATGTTGACAACCTTTAAGCCAATCTAACACTCAAGATTACTGATGGGAAACTAATGAGAAAATATCAGATCGTCCGGCCTGGGGGCTCCTAATTAAATCTTAGTTGATTGAAAAATAAAAGCCAGGGTTCCTTTCTTTCTAAGGGAAGAGAAGGGGGGGGGGAAACATGCTTGAGGCTTAAGTTTAGCCACGTTTTTACTTATATTTTAACGCCCCTCCGCAACCACTTTAATCCTCTCGCCTTTCCCCCCCCCCCCTCGCTTGTCCCTAAAAAAAAGCCTGACATTATTTCTTGGCTATTTGAAGACATTCGATCAGGAATTATTATCACTTTTTTTGGCCCAGTAAATATTAAGGCCTCTAAGCAACGTGATTTAGCTAATTAGAAAATTTACATCATTAAGTCTCGGGGAAAGCGAACGGGAGGGAGGAGAGAAAGGAGAAAGAGAGAGATCTGTCAGTCATTTTAAAGGAGACAGGCCCTATTGAAGTGTGAAGAAATCGGCTCTAATTCAAAAAGGCAATCGGGCAGAAAAAGCCCTCAACATTACCCTGCTAGTTATTAATCAGAAAGGGTCTCTTTCTTTTTCTCCTTTGCCCAGTAATGGCAAACCCGCGGTACATCGTTAGTTTCTCCCACCGCCTCAGCAGAGTTCCCATTCAAGCTTTTCTGCTACTGGCCTAGGTCCCATATTGATAGCCAGTATTTGTCTATTCAAGGCTCATAGATTTGAAAATGTTTCTATGTTAGGGAAGGAACCAGACCCGCAGGAGAAAGTCGGTTAGGCAAGGCTCCCTTTTTCTAATTCCCTCCCCCTAATTTAGACGCCTCTATTTGTTTGGGGGAAGGGGAGAAAGAGGTGGTAGAATAGTCTCTCCGCTCCGCTTCCCATTTTTGTTAAAGTTGAGTTTAAAACCTATTTTGCCGGGTGAACTCCTCGATCAGGCTTTGGTTTCTTTTAAAACATAGGAGAGCCGCCTTTCTTTCTTTCTTTCTTTCTTTCTTTCTTTCTTTCTTTCTTTCTTTCTTTNAGGAGCAAAAGCGGAGCGGAGTTTGCAGGAGGCCATTAGTTCGTTTCATTAGTGTGAAGATTTGTCCGTGACTCTCAGAGATTCTGCCAAGTATTTCCTTGTACAGTGTGGCGTTTGGAAGATATCGGCCTGGCAGCTCTCAAAGCCTGATGAGGTCTGTGGTTGTCAATTCACCCTTGAAAGTCTGTTTGCTGGGACTGCTTGGTGGATGTGAATGCGAGGGATTCACAGTAGCTTCATAAAAAGGGATTTTGTCCGGACAAGGAGTCTGCTTTGTGATTTTGGGAAGCCTCGGTCAGAAGAAGTAGAAAAATGAAAGAAGAGCGTGTTTGTTTTTAATGCTGATCTCTGTCATACGTTGAAACACCACACGCACACACTTCTTTTTTCTCTCTCTTTAACAGCTGTGTGCACCTCCACAGCCAGCAGCACATCTTGGTCATGTGCGCAGTGGCCTTCTACTTAATCGAAAACTACCCTGCTGACGTCGGACCCGAATTCTCTTCTGGAATTATTCAGGTAGGGTTGAGGCCTCCGGAGAGTTTCCCGTGTGGCCTTCGAGGAAAGGCGGAGGTGAAAAGAACCTTCTCGGTTGACCCTCATGTGAGATAAAAACCCAACTTATTAAATCCTCACAACACAGAGGCAAGTCTGGTTCACAATTCAAAAAGGTTTATTTACAGAAAAATAGAAAGCCTTTGCAAAGGCGGCCTCCGAGTCTCTTCCCAAGTGGATCGCGTACAAGGAGAGCAAAGAATAGCCTTCAAACAACACATTTGATACACTCCTAAGAAACTCTTCCCCTCCTGCTAATTCATTTTAAGTCATTTCTTTTGTCATTCCATACTCTAAAGAGAACTTGACAATTTCTTGAGAGGCCCCTATCTCTTTATTTGGTTTCTTTCTGGTGCCTTTCGTCTGAGCAGATGGCTTCCTATCTAACATGTACGTAGGCTTGGAATAACAAAGGTTATCTTGTCCTGTTTACCGAACACATTTTGTGGTTAGCAAAAGCACAGTAACTTTTTACACACTTTAAGCAAGAATATAATGGCTTATACATTTAACATTGTAAAAGAATACAAAAGCAACCTTTTAACATTTTATTAAAAAACAGTAACTTAATAACATTTCCTTCACTCACTCCTTGCATTGGCCAGTCTCAAAACTTTGCTCAGCCATTCTTCTTTGTGTCAGGCCTGTCCCAACTTGGGCGTTGGGGAAAGAAAGACCCTCAACTCCACTTGTAGCAAAAGGCGTACGGGTGGTTCTCGACTTACCACAGTCCGTTTATTTCAGGACGGGCTGCTATCGAGGCGAACGGGAGCTCATGCGACATGAACGGCAGATCTGACGCTTTCTCGTCTCTTCCAGATGTGCGGAGTGATGCTATCCGAAAACGAGGGATCCACTCCCTCGGTGATCTACCACTGTGTGCTCAGAGGTCTGGAAAGGCTCCTGCTCTCGGAGCAGCTCTCCCAGCCGGACTGCGAAGCGCTGGTGAAGCTGAGCGTGGACCGCGTCAATGTCCTTAGCCCGCATAGAGCCATGGCCGCCTTGGGACTCATGCTGAGCTGCATGTACACAGGTAACGCGGTTTGCCGTTCTCGGTGACTTGTTATTTAGGCCACGATCCACTGACTCAGAAGTGGGGGGGGGGGAGTGAGAAACACAGGCATTCGATTTACGACCACAAGTGAGCCCCAGATTTCCGTTGCTGAATGAAACATTTGTGGAGTGAAATTTTGTCCCAATTTGCGATCTTTCTCGCCGCCGTTGTTAAAACGAATCACTGAGGCTAAGTAACATGGTTCTTAAGTGAATCGGGCTTCTCCCTTGAGGGGATCATATGACCCCGGGAATCTTGCAACCATCGTAAAGAGGAGTCCGTTGCCAAGTGTCTGAATTGCGATCAAGTGACTGTGGAGCTACTGCAGTGAAAAAAACTCACGCGTAACTCCCTACTTTCAGTACTGTTGTAACTTTTAGCAGTCACTAAGTGAATGGTCGTAAGTCGAGGACTACCCGTATTGTCATCCATCCTTGCAAGCGAATCGTCATCATCTTTTAATGCCCCCATAATCCTTTGCGAAGTGGAGTCTGGGCAACTGAATGGAGCCGAGTGTTTACTGGCCAACTGCTCTACCTGTCACCAATGCGGAGTTATATTCAGCCAATATATTCTCATTGTGCCCAGAGAGAGAAATACCTGCCTCTACCTAGGATCGAACTTACAGCCTCCCAATCCTGTGGCGAAGAGCTGTACCTCTAAGCCACCGCATCACTCATCTTAGCAAGCAAATGCTTGCGTTTATACCATGGGGAAGCGGGGGACCAGTATTTTCTACAGCTGGCTCAAAATGAATCAGTCTTTACGACTGCAGTCACTTTCACCTCAACAGTTCTTCTCAACAATCCTGGTTTTGTAGATCCTTGTTTGTCTCTAAGCTGGGTTGTTTTTGTGCAGCTGTCAGTTTTCCTGGTCGCATAACGAAGCATCTGCACAAAAACGACCGAACTCAGAAACCCTTCACAGCTGACAGCGAAGGTGAATTGCCTGCATTCCGTCCATCGTCCTTTCTTGTCAATTCCCTTTGATCCATGTCACGAGGTTGTAGTAATCATTCTTATTTTTATCACTCTTCCCCCCCCCTTCCGCCCCCCCCTTCCCTCCCCGATTGCGGCTTTAGGAAAAGAGAAAGTCAGTCCTGGACGAAGCGCAGATCCTCACTCGGCAGCTCCGGACAGTGAATCGGTCATCGTGGCGATGGAGCGAGTATCTGTCCTCTTTGACCGGTAGGAACAAAAGGCCAGGAAGAATTAGTCCCTGCACAAAATAAATACAATTTCCCAATTATTTTCCATTTATAAATGTAACTAGCAGATAATCCTGGCATTGCCCGGGTATTTATTTGTAGGGGGGGAAATGTCCAGATCAAACGTAATTTCTAATGTTGGATTTTCCCCCTTACCAGAGGGAGCTCCCTTATGGAGTACTGTGAAGCCGTTATCATGGCAACTCCACTGTCTGTACAGTGGAAGCCATTTTATGGCAGTACAGTAGAAGCCATTTTAAGACACAACAGGCTGTATTTTAACAGAACACACTCCCTGAGGGGTGTTAGGGGTGTCTTACCCCCACAGTATTTGTTTCCGGAGAGTAAGTCATCTGTTTATCAAGTTTGGTTGAAATTGCTCGAGGCGTTCCAGAGTTATGCGCACACACGCGCACACACATGCACGCACACACACACACATATATATATAAACTAGGAGTCCCCAAACCCTGGGCCAGGGCCCAGCACTGAGCCAAAACTGGGCCACGCAAGTAGTAGACAAGCGCGAGAAGCTTCATTTACGTGAGCGGTGGGGGCACGTACCTGTTGCGTGTGTGAATGGAGCTGCACACACAATAGCGCAGGCCCCACTGCAAGCACAGAGCTAGCCGATGCGAAGCTCAAACGTACAGTGGCCGTTCTGTCATTGGGGCCCCCTGACGTCAGGGAGGGAGGTGCCGGCCAGCCGGCCCTGGAGACTGATGGACGCTCTCTCTCCCTCCTCTCCCCCTCTCTCACTCCCTCTCTCTCCCCCTCTCTCCCTCTCTCCCTCTCT